CCCCTGTAATTGTACTTTCTGACCGTGGAGTCACATTATGAGACAGTCAAGTTGCGCCCTTTGACAGCTTATTTCTGCCTTGCAGCCCGGACAGAAAAATAGCCTCAAGACTAATATTGCACACGATAACCGTAATTGGGTCAAATATTCAATTAGGGTTCCTGTAGTTTTGATTCCTTATTATCATTTATGGGAAGGAGAGCCCTTTCAAAACAAATACTGTCCATTCATGGCATTTAATTAATTTTTTTCATTCCAAAGTCTGAGAAGACGACCCAGCCTTGGGTGCAGCTATTTTACTTTTGGGGTTTGTGAAAACTCAAGGGCACACTGGCACGAAGAATCAGGAAGCCAAACGCAAACAATCCACACCTTGGGGAAACAGTTCACTGTTACCCAAGTAAACACAAGCACCTATTAGTCACCTACTCAAAACAGAGATGGCCAATGAGGGACGAGAGATCAGCCCTCACCACCAGAAAAATAAGAACACTGTTTTCAAAATCTCTTTCTTTGTTATCATAGACTTATTGTGCATTGCTAAAAAGCCACAGCTGAGGTTCTAATGGGAAAATGTCACTGGATGGGCCACTAAATAGCTTTCAAAATCTTTACAACCCAGACCTGACACACAGACCTGCATACGTGCACATTGTGATAATCATTCTCTCTCTGGACAAGGAATGACATGATACTCAGCTATCAGTTCCAAGAGCAGAAACCTACAAGAATTGAATTATGATTGCTAGCTAGGTAGGTGGGCATGAGCCTGGCTGAGGGACCTTTATTTTTTATTGGCTTCTCATCCGCTTTGCAAGCTACTCATCAGAAGCCTTCAAGATGTTTTCTAAACACACTTCTCTGAATCATAATGCAAATTCCATTTACTGAAAGGCAGGAAGTTTTAATATAACAAGTGAACCCATTTAATGACTTATGCTTTTATATCTTATGGCATCCCTCATGCTTTTAATAAGTGGATGTAATTTTCTTTACATTACCCTATGATTAACATAGTACTATGAACATATATTTCAACCATGTTATAAATTTTAAAAAATTTTTCCAGCTACATTTCTATTATGAAAATGCTCTGGACAGCAAGGATAGCAAAAGACAAGAGCCAAAATAATCAGCACAGATTAACTCTTTTCCCGTCTTCCACTAGAGGAATTCTCCAAGAACACAGATTTTCTAATATGTTAACACCTTTATAAAGAGTAATGATTACTCCTATTTAATTTTCCTTTGGTTGGTATTTCTATATTTTTCCAACAGATGAGATATTACTATTACTTAGGTACTTAAGTATTTTTTATTTAACTGGAAATAACTTTTACTCCTAAACTTATCTAATACAATATTATAGAAATGAGATTTTCAGAGCAAAATATCCTACCTTTATCAGTTTAACTTTCAGTACTTTTTGCTGTTGATAAAATATGACATAGGTTCTTACACTATAGAGAAATACTTGAAAATAGTCAGAAATCAGAAGATCATAATAAGCCAAGATTTTTCTCCATGCTCAGATACTTTGATAATAGGTTAAAGATGAAAAATATAACTGAACTAATGCAATAATTTCTTCAGATAATCTGTCTTTCACATTATTGGTCCCTACAATGTTAAGTGGACCCAAATCTCCCCCAAATCATAATAAGGCATTCAAAGGAAATCTAACAGAAAAGTCACATTCTCATTAATAGTATTGACACTAATTTATTCTTATTTTACCCTAAAAAGGTGCACTTGCGTGAAACTTTGTTTCCATATCAGACATTAGGGATCTTTTAAAATAATCATTTGAAACCCTGACACTTATCATAGACAGCACATGAATCATAAATTAAAGGCTTTTATTAAATAGATTTTATGTTATGAAATAGAGTTTCCCCATTGTATAATCTTAGTATTCATTATAGTTAAGTTTTATATTTTCACATTTTAGTAAAATTATGAGGTGGTTTGTTGAAACTCACAATTCATGTTTTACATGTTCTAAATCAGTCTTAAAACAGCTCAGTAATTGAAACCAATACCTTAAAGTTAGATTCTGCCAAAAATATTAAATTTTAAAGAAATACTTTTAAAAAGCTTGACATAGCAATAACAGTAAGACAGACCATCACAGAAACTGCTAGAAGGTTTGGAATCTGGGTTTGTTGCCCGATAGTTACTTTGTCTTTCAAGTTCAGCTTTCATAGGTACGTACCTCTCCCGCTCCGACCGACAAACCTGAGGTCATTGAATCTTGCGACTTGATTCTTCATGGCCGCAGTAGCATTTCTGAGCTCGGCTGAGTAGTTCTCATCATTGCCAGCCATCACCGTGACCAGAGTACCATCCGGAACTTCCCCCAATGCCACCACCTAGACAGGAGTCAGGGACAAACGCAGACATCAGGAATGCTCTACATACACTTTTACGCCATTTGCGTAGCCATTGTTCTAAAATTAAGTGCATTTTAAATGATACGTTTTAGTTGGTAGAGGAATAACTATAACCTAGTAACAACATAAAAGTTTGTGAATGGGAACATTTAAAAAAGAAAACATTCCATTATGCGTAAGTTTTCAAATCGTAAAACACTGACTAAATTTGCCTAATAAAGCCACACAGAGTCATACAACATAGTTTGAACCAGACTAACAATAACAAGGGCTTTGAGAAGCTGTGCTGTCTCATGAATACAATCATCTCTTCTTAATTCCTCCTATTTGAGAAACAGAATGCCTTCTGTTCTTAGGTTTATAAGCTGATCCATCTTTTACTTGCTCAGACTGCCAGGGGCAGGCCTAACGGAGCTGGAGCCTGGAATTCACTTGTAAGTATTTAAATTTAAAAATTAAGTCCAATCTTTTCTGTGATTTTCAAATGACATTAACTGTCCCTTGTTAGTTCATCTGTGGAATTCCTCTGCATTTCTACTGTACTGAATGTCATTCGCAGTGAATTCTGGCATGCAAGAAAGTGAAATCAGAAATGCACCTTTTGGTTACTACTAATTACAAAAGTGACAGACCTCAGGGAAAAGAGACTCACACTTTAATCATCCTTCTCAAATCAAGGGGGGCACTGAGCTGCATTTTTAAATCTCTGATTCTAAAGACGCATTAGTTATACTCTCATAGATGACTGAGGTGTTCTCAAAACCCAGCGAATCTTAACAAGGAAACCCTTTAATGTAATTGAATAGATATGGTTTATTAGCAAGGCGATTGAAAACCAGTCAATAACTATGTTTTGATGCTCAAGGATTAAAAAAAAGTACTAATTCCAAGGTAAAATGTTCTGAAGAGCAGGGCCTGAAGATATTTTGTGCAATAGTATCTATTTTGTGGCCATTCCACTTGACCCTTCTAGAAAATGTTTCCTTGGTCTAGACATTTATTATCGGCCATTATTTCCATCATTTGAGTTTCTCATAGTGGCTATAAATTTTCAAATCAAAATGCCCCCGGTTGTATTTGTTCCTATCATTTCTAATATTCTTCATGGTACTTTCTCAGCCAGTAGCGAAATTTGTGTTACTCATACCCATTGTATAATCATTTTTTGGTCGTTGCTTCTGAACTGGTAATAATAAAGCATTTCTTAATTTGTTATTCTTCCTTCCCATTTCCAACCTCCCAAGTTTTACTAGTACGTAATTGCTACATCAATTTTTGTTGGGAGTATTTTCAGGCCTTTTTCTCTGTTTGTAAATAAGGCTGCGACAGATTCACCTGTCTGATATCAAAGTCATGTTTCTCAACATTCCCATCTTTGCTATATGCTTAGTCACAACTCCTGCCTTCCCTGTGTCCTTCAGATGACTCTGTACTGTTTTTATTCATCATGGCTGCTTCGGCTCCATGGTTTGAAGGAACACAACAGAAAATAAACCCAGTCACTCTGAGAAGTGAACATCCTCTAAACCCCAAGATCTCAGCAAGATAAGCTACTCTCATGGTACTAGTATGATTTTATTCATCTATTTCATCCAATTTGCACTGAGGAGCAAGGTCAAGGCCTTGCTCTGTTTTTAATCTCTGTTTTAATCTCTGTTTTTAATCTCTTTGTTCCAATTTTTGAACATGTTTTCTAAAAAGAAAATTTTAAAACACTGCTATTTATTCTCTAAGCAATCTCTAATTAGGTATTTAGCTCCTATTATAAATGTGTTTGTTGCCACTTAATTAATTAAGAGCAATACTATGACAATCTCTTTTGTTTCAAAAGACATTATTGAAATAAATCTCCTTGATCAGTTGATTGATCATTGTTATCTTTTCCTTCTATTCCTACAAAAAGTGCTTGCTTTATTCTGCTTTTTAGCCTCTTAATTTTTTTCCCCGTTTCTTTTTTCACGATTTTCACTTCCCCCTGTGAAATTAGCTCACAGTGTTGAAATGTCTTCCTTGAACACATATTTTTACTTCCTCATCTTCATCTCTCTATGGTGACCCAAGCTTTTCTATTTTAATTCAACATTCAGTAAGTGTACAGGGTATGGGATCAACTACATGGCTTTCAAACTGAATAACTCATTATTGGGGCTGAATCTGGAAAGAGGTTAAAATAAATAAATCTTGTTTTATAACCACCCAATGCATTCTGAATCACCATACTCCTATGCTGTTTCTCCTAGTGTTCCACCTTGGAGTCTAATACTATCCTCCTTGGTAATTTGGCAAGCCCTCTAAATCTTCGCCAAACAGAAGCAAATAGAGCATAAAATTATCATGGAGGCCAAATAAGAAAAACCTATCGATGTTGGAATTTAAGAATAAAAATTAGGAGTCTAACTCTCACCCCTCCCATTTTTAACCCCTCCCATTTTTAAAATGCAGCAGAAATCAAAGATATTTGGGTACTCAAATATCACCGTCATGGCCTTTTATTTATCTATAAAGTATTTGGGGAGGGAGGGGCAAAATTAAACCCAAGGAAATTTTGTTAATATACATCATCCAATTGACAAGCACACACAGTTAGGCTAGATTAAAAATTTTAAACTAATGTATCTGCAAATTTGATATGGATTTTTGCCACTGATAGGCAATATAAGCAGGATGAAAAAATGTCTACCTTCAAACAGAGAAAAGCAACTGGACTGAAAAGCTATAAACAATAGGTAAAGGAACACAAACATTTACATTTTAACACAGACCAAACAGACAAGAAGGGACTTGCTGGCCAAACATATCTCATATTTTGTTTTACTTCTCTGTTTTTAAAGTATCAGGAAGTTGGGCAAAATATCAACTCTCCTCTATACTACATAGTTCTCGCAATACTGTTCTTGGCTAGCCTGTTCGCAGTCCAAACACGCATTTCCAACCAATCTTAATTAGGTTGAAATTACAGTTACAATTCATTTACTTCGAATCCCTTAATCTTCCAACGTTTGAAAGAAGGCTGTGGAGTGGAACATAGAATTCAACCAAGATGACATTTAATGCATAGCTGGGGACCATGATCTTGCCGCCAGAAACATTACTTGTTTCTTTCTTTTTTTTTTTTTTTTTTTTTTTTATGAAAAGCGTATTACAATCAGAATCCAAGGTCTCTGAATTTCTTTGCTGAAGGCATGTTTATGTCTTTGGACTCTGGTGTACCAGGGCCTAAACAAACTGTAATATTATAGTATTACAAAATCTCTCCTAAGTCATCCAAACAGCTTCGTAGGCTGCTTCTGTAAATACTGGGTAGCACGTAGCAAGCTTAGGATTTTTCTCGGTAGTAAAAATATATACCTGTCCTGTGCTAAAATAAAGGTCTTCCATGGGAGGGAAAGGGGCAGAGAATAGGATGGGGTCCAGGATGAACAACTATGATCACTTTAATCTATTTTAAAGAAACTTCATAATTTTGAATGTCTACTTAGTTCTGAAGATTAAAGCAGAGGATTTGTACATAGAATTTCAGAGGACTTCTAAACAGGTACTTACATGCTCTTTTCCTCAATATTATCAGACTTTATAATTGTGTCACATTTTCTATTCTTTATCATGGGGAATACAATTCTCTAAGGTTTAATTTCTCAAAGCAATTGAGACTCGCTTAAAATCTAAATTTTAAAGGAGTAATTTTTGCAGAAACTGCTTAGGGTGTTAGTGGATGGTTAAGTAGAGTGGACCAGTGGCCCAGTGAAGGAAGCCAGGATATAGGCAGACTGTGGAGTTTAGATTGCTATCATCTCCCACCTTTACATTGGTTCTCACACTAAAAATTCTGTCTAATTCCTCAGCAGGGCGGTGGGCAAATCTCCTTGAAGAAGTGGCCTCTCTTCTCTGGGACTGGGGTGGTGACAGACAGTAATCAAGTGGTCTGATTTCTCTGCTGACTTTTTCTTTCCCCAAAATGTTCTCAAGAGACGCACTTGAACTTTTTTTCAAAAGATCTACACCTTGATCTCGTAATAGCTTACAGGTTGTCATCCAGTAAAACAAATTCAGATTTTTGTTACAGTAAATTATCCAAGTCATTTTAAAAGGAAACCTCCATGTTTATTATGATTTCTGCTGAAAAGAATTGGCTGGTCGCTCCTAAAAGCAATTTGTATAGTTTTTCAACCTTTTGGAAGAAAATAACGTTTTCATATAGTAGCTCAAGATTTTGCATGGCTCCAAGTTCTGAAGACTTCTCATTAATCATTGATTGTCTTGATGTGTTGGGGTGTGGGTTCCCTGGGAGGACACGGCTCAAAAGAGATCCTGATTTCCCCCCAAAGGAAGCCACAAATCCCTTAGCACGATTGGGGTATAGGGGCGCCTGGCTTAAAAGGCCCTTTGGTTGATTATCAGCCTGTCTGCTCTCTGCTCTTATCTGACAGTGACCTTAGCCCCAGCCCCAGGTCTCCTCTCAGTTACAGCGAGCAGAGGAGATCCACCAACTGAGTCTGTTTACATGGAAGAATTGGAATCATTTAAAATCCAAATGGACTCCCAAACCCAAATCTAAATAAATAGAAGAAAGGAAGGAAGAGTCAAGTGGCTGCTCGCTTCATCCTCATTCCCAGGGCCGGTTTAAAAAAAAGCTATCAGACAGCTGAGTGAAAAGGAAGAAATCGTATAGAAGGCCAATTGCAAATTGTGTTTCTGTTATTTTAAAAATAACAATGTAGGTTTGGAAAGTGATACATTTTAAAGAACTCCAACAACACTTTTTTGTCTTAATGAACACTGTTAATTGTAGTTAGATCAAGATCTGGCTAAGGCCTATGAAAAGCTTATCCTACATTAATTTTTCTGTAAAGGTGACAATTATTTAACTTTTTAAAAAAGAGTAACCTATTTTTACAGTTTGCACACCCAATCTCCATTAGCCTTTTAAATGAACAGGAAATGACCACAGTTATTATACTAAAGAGCTACACTTAAAAAAAAAAACAAAAAAAAAAAACTACCCAAGACAGAACAGAATCTCCACCGCAGAAATTAAATTCCTACTACTGTTAGTTGCCAGGGTAGTGGGGTGGTTGTTTAAAAACGCTGGAGGTTGTTTATATATCCTTCTTCAAGGCCAAGATTTTTAAAGACAGCTCAAAGCTAGGGCAAGATCCGGGATGAAAAGTGACCGCAGACCTGGGCTACTCAGCTGGTGTCAGGGTCCACGCCGCCCCCTCCTCTAACAGCAAAGCTGGAGGTTAGGACTTCTTGGCTCTCAAGAGACACCTTGTCACTTTTCGCTGCTGCGGGCTTAGTCTAGGTGAACCAGCGATAAAGTTCAGGAAGATTTCAGGAGAAGAAACGGGAGTTATTCCTCGCGGCTTCTGGCTTGAGCAAGCTAGAGGCTCGCAAAACTCAGAAAACTTTTGCAAACTTAACTACGCCCGCCGCCGCAGTGGACTTTGGACATGCTAATTTCTACAGGGCAGTTAAGAAAGGGGGGAAATCCCTGACAATTTCCAATGCTGTTTTTTTTTTTTTTTTTTTAATGTCCGGAAGGTAAGTATGGAAGTATCTATATTTCATTTCCGGATGCCTTCATCTGAGAGAGAAAAATTGGTTTAAGTGATAAACCAGAAGCGGTGGAGAGCCGTGAAGAAGCAGAAGCATTTGTCCTCTGCTAGATAGAACTTTGCCTACTTTGTAACCAAAGGTAAGGACAGGTACTGATACTTTGTATCAAAGGAAAAGGAGGTCCCGGGCGGCCCGGAGTGGTTATCTTGGGGAGAATCCTGATTAGCCCCGCGTGGTTGCTGCGGGCAGGCTGAAGCGGGTCCCGCCCGAGGGTCGCCACGGCAACGCAGCATCCCCGCATCCCAAGCACAGGGAGCAGGACCAGGGGCGACGACGGGGAACCGCCAGCCCAGTCAGTCCAGCCGCTGGTCTCCCGGATCACACCGGGTATCCGCAGGCTTCTGCCAGTCCTCCCACCACCCACCCGCTCCCAGCCCAGTACCTTGAAAGCGATGGGCAGGGTCTTGTTGCAGCGCCAGTGCGTGGGCAGCACGGAGCAGAGGAAGTTGGGGCTGTCGGTGCGCACCAGCTCGCCGGGGTGGTCGGCCAGCACCTCCACCATGCTGCGGTCGCCGCTTCTCAGCTTCCCGGCCAGGGCGGCGCCGGCGTCCGGGGCGCCCAGCGGCAGCGCCTCGCTCATCTTGCCCGGACTCAGCGCGGTGGAAGGCGGCGTGAAGCGGCGGCTCGTGCTGGCATCTACGGGGATACGCATCACAACAAGCCGATTGAGTAAGGACCCCGCAAACAGCTCCTACCAGACGGCAACAGGGGCGCGGATCTTCAGCAAGCAGCTCCCGGGAGGCCAACATACAAGTTCAAGGGCCTTTATTACAGCGGGAGCGCTGGGGGAGGGCGGGGGACTAAGTTCCGAACAGTCCAGGACCGGGAAAGTTCTAGTGAGGCCGATCAGTGTCAGACCCAGGCAGGGCTCCTAACCAACCAACCGCTTAGTGCATTAAAAAGTGGGCGAATAGAATCCAAAGTTAAACGCCAAACGGAGACTGCTTTCTTGAATCTTGGTTTGGGAGATTTAAGTTCAGTCTTAGGCTATTATAAAAGTTCCCGGAGGCAAAATTCCCGTCCACTTCCTAAAATATTTATGCAGAGAGCAAAACAACCAGCAAATACATGATTTTGGAAGTTCCAGTAGTTAATCGCCTGTCAGTTACTATTATTGCTGCAGGTGAGTTCTGTCTAAAGTCCCAACAATGCAAAATTCAGGAGTGTCTTCCACACACGGCTCCCCTTTTATCATGAAAAACTGGCTTCGGTTCTCAAAAGTAAGAGCCGCGACTTCCAAAGGTTGTGCTAGTTGTGCTACTAATGTATGTGCACGTATATATAAATATATACATACGCTCTACTTCATAAAATATTTACAATACAATCTGTAGAGAATTTAAACACAACAGAACTCCATTAATGTTCGCTGCGGATTTTTTTTTTTTTTAAGTAGCCTTGAAAATCAGCTTCAGTAGTTGGAAGAGGGCTGGGCTAGAATTACTTGTCATGTTCTCTTAGTAAATTCTGGCAAAACGCTCAGTGCAAAAGAAATTCGGCTTTTCAAAGATCTCTGTCTGGCTAATCTTAAAAAAAAAGTCCAAGTCGATGATACTAAGGTACAGGTCTCCACATCTGAGAACTCGGTTTGGGGGATGTTGGTTAAGTTTGTGGCTGATCTTGTGGTTTGGTGGGAGTTGAGCTGTAGCGAGTGACACACACGCAGACACGCACTCTTCCGAGGCTAGGCACTGTCTACATCGGCTCAGTGAGTCAGTCCCGACTTGGGCAGTAGCGAGCTCTTCCTCCCACGTCGCCCAGCACCCGCGGCCTAGCTGCTCCGCCGCACGGATCCCCAGGAGCACCGTGGCACCGCAGCAGGTGGAGCGGCCGCAGAGGAGACTCAGCCGCGCAGGTCCAGATAGACCCCCGGGGCTCGAGTTACACGCGCGCTCGCGCACTCTCCACGCACACGCAACTTCACGGCCCGCCTCGAACCACAGCGCGCTTTCTCTCGCAGTTGTCAAAAGAAAAAAAAATCAGGAGAACAAAGTTCACAGCCAAGGAAGAAGTTGAAACATCCAGCCAAGAAGCCACTTCATTCAAAAGTAAGAAAGAAAAAACAAAAATAGAAAGATCCAACGCCGGTCTAGGAGGGGCAGTAAAGATTGACTTTCTGGTGTCGTCCCCAGGAGCCCCGGTTAGAGGTGCCTGCCGGCACAGGGCTGGGCAGCGTGGTGCCCTGGCTGGGTCCGGCCGCGGGGCGCCCGTCCCGCCCGCGCCCGCTGGCTCTATGAATGAGAGTGCCTGGAAATGAACGTGCTTTTACTGTAAGCCCAGCCCCAGGAATTCCATTCCCTCAACTCGTTTGCATAGGGGCGGCCGTCGGCCAATCACAGGCCTTTCCGGTATCAACCAGGGCGCGGCTCGCTGCCGCCTGCTCCTGGAATTGGCCCGCGCGCCCCCGCCGCCGCGCGCTACTGTACGCAGCCCGGGCGAGGGGACCTCAGCGGCTGTGGCCACCCCCGCGCCCCCGCACGGCCACGCGTACACACGCAAGCTCGCTCGCTTGCCCGAGGCCTAGCCTGGGTGCCGACCCCCAGCCCCGCAGTAACGCGCGCACTTGCGCTGCGGCCTATCCGGGGGATTGCAGGGCGCAGTGGCGCCCCGGGCGGCCACGGTTCGGAGCCCTAGGAGGAGGAGGAGCAGGCGGAGGCCCGGCCTGCCTGGGGACGACCCAGCCAGAGAACTGCGCCCGGGCCCGGAGATCAGCTGGAGGGAGGCGCCCGGGCGGCCTGGAGACGCAGCAGCTGCTGCGAGGGTTCGGGGGACGCGGCCGGGAGCCTCTGACCGTCCACGGCCCTGGCGCGGCCGCTTCCCGGGCCGGTGGGATTGGGCCGCCCGGAGGCCGGAGGGCCGGGGCCCGGCTGGAGAGCGGCTGTGCGCGCCCCCGAGGCCTGGCCGGTCGCCGCAGCGAAG